TTTGTTGGTATGGGGCTGGATAACATTATGACCATTGAATTTAAGCCTAGCGGCGTTGTTCCTTTGGGTTTCGCTGGTTTTGTTATTTTTGTAGTGTTTGGGTAAAAGCGGTCAGAGCTTTGTCTCTGGAACATGTCCGTGGTTTTGGGGTGGTTGCCAATGGTCACTTTCCCACGGCCAGCGGCCTTTGGTGCATAGGAACCCGCCGCAAGTAACAAACATGAAGACTTTTTTCGTTTTGTCGTTTTGTCGTTTTGTTCGTTAGATCAGGTTAGGCAGGTCAGATAGAGGGAATCTGTGCTCTGTTTTGGTGGGTATTGGACCTTATACGCACTGTGTTGGCATTTACTTTGGTCTTCAGGAGAATTTGTAGTATCTGACAAGAGACAAGACTGGAAACAGTGGGAAACAGCTAGCCTGCAGCTAGAACGTCTGCCTACCAGCACAATTAATTTTTTAAGTTTAATTAATTAATTACTAATTAACACATTATATTTCTTTGTTTAATTTGTAAACAAATAGTACTATAATTTCTGGTTTTAGGGGGAGTGATGTACGTAGATCACCTGTTGACAAACAACAGCATCCGCTCAGCACTTCTGTGCAGTGTTTCTTCTGGTTGCCTGGCAACCTATCTGTAACAACAAAACTCCAAGAAGTCAGTGCACCTGTGAGATAATACTCATAAGCCAAAAACCTATTTACTATGTAGTGCGCTAAATTTACTGTCCGCCATCTTATTTGAGTGTATAAATTCATCCACTACACTACATGATGCCCTTAAAAACTCACAATGGCACTAAAAAAGGTAGTGTCCATGTCATGTACACTACTTTTTAACAGTCCCACAATACAATGCAACCAAGGGGAAATTGTAGTATTTCCATTATCTGAGAAAAGTTCTCACTGAAACACATACTTCTATTTCTATTAAGGCTATTTTGAACACGTGTATTGGTTTCCTGGCTTGATTTCTGCCACCTTTCTCTTCCTGTAGGAGGTTGAATGAGTTTCTTTGAAGACCTTACACCGCCCATTCAAGGAAAAAAACATCTTCCCTCCCCCCTTACATATTTTATAATAAAATGTTTTTGTTGAATGCAAGTGGTTGCCTTGTATATTTTTCACTACTGACCAAACTCTTGGCTTAAATTAAACAGTTGCTGGTATTCATTCACTTTATGTGAGTAATTATGACAATATATGCACAATAAAAATATGAATGCATACATACTGTAAATTTATTCTAGGTAATGGGAGCACTCCTCCTTCCCTCCTATATTCAACACAGAAAAAGTGATAACTGTCTCTCTTGCAACACAAAAAATGCTGTTATTGCTGCAAATATATTCACTGCTGTCTGTCTTGCTGCAAACCATTCAAACAGGTAGACAAAGCGGATTTGTTTGGAACTGTGGAGAGCTACGTGAACCACATGAGCGTGTGGTGGCAAGATCAAAGCATGTCGTAGATCTCTTTTTCAATGCCTTTCTAGTAAAGCTCTTACCGAGGAAACATAACCCTATCACGATTTTATGATTTCTTCCCATTTTTCACAGATAGCATGTCAAGCTGCTTTTTACCAAGAAATAGTTACAGCATGCACAGTAACTCCCTGCTTTCCCCTGCCCTCTGATGAAGACGCACCTGCTGTTGAAATGTTAGTCATTCAGTAAACCAGTATACCATACCTCCAGTATACTTTGGACTATATCTCTGAAGTCTCTCCTGATACAAGATTGCCGTACTCTGAGAGCACCGGACAGGCCTTTTTCCTTGTGAGTCGGCTGAAGCATGTTTGACGTCCTTCATCACCATGCTTTCAGTCTCATTGCTAAGCTAATTGCCTCACCTTACATAAGGTGGAGACAAGAGTGGTATTAAACTTGATCTAATGCAAAAAAGGCAAATAAGCACATTTCTCAAAATGTTGAACTATTCTTTGAAAGTAGTCCTGTAGGGATAATAACAGGTGTTGGCATGCTGTAAAGAGGAAAACTGTAAGGTCTTCCAGTATTACTTTAGTAGAAGTGCTGCTATTGTTTCTGTTTTAGTCACTGATTGATGCTAACATGCTGGAAAACCACCTTACGTGTTCATTATAGCAGAGCAGACAGAGCCAAAGCTCAATGAATGAACTTGTTTAATCAGAAAGAGCCACACAGACTGTTCTGGACACACAGGTGAACTGTTGGACTGTCAGTAGATGAGTTGGATCAGGTTTTTGGGGAGTTGCCCAACAGGCCCAGCAGGACCAAACATAATGAGGGTTTTGCTGCAAACACCTAAAGGACTCTGTCCAGAATGATTTCATCTTTCATCTTCCTGCAAAACTTAATGACATGAAGCTTGTATGGATCCCGTTCAAAATCCTCTATCACAGAAGCAGCTGCATCACTCTGTGGCAAGAGGGTGGTCGGTACTTGTCATGGTGGCAGCCAAAGAGCTAAAGCAGGTGCTGACTGAAGACATAGACCTTCCAAGCTCGGTTGGTGTGTACAGTGAGGAACCAGAGGTCCAGAAGGAAACCACAGATTCATGCAGCAGGAGATCAAAGAGGTGATGGATGATGACTTCTGGACAGTTACTTCCAGTGAGCGTATGTGATATGGATGGTAACTGCAGCATGAATTAGTTACTTTATGGTTTTCACAATATATTAGTGGAGGAGAAACTACGGTAAGCACACAATGTGTGAAAAACGCAAACACCCCCATCTAAAGCCAGTGTTTGGTTTGTCTGTTCTAGGCTACTACAGAAACATGGCAGTTCAACACAGCATCTATAGATATAAATGGTTCATTCTAAGGTAACAAATCCAGAACGATACTTATTTTCAGGTGATTATACACTAATGAAAACACAACATATTGTGCATATTATGTTCCTCCTAATAGATCCTCAGAATGAGACTTCCCCTTGAGCTAGACTTGGTTAGACACACAGAGGATCAAGTGAAAGGAACAGAAAACATTTCATTTCTCTGCAGTGTCATGTTGTCAGACACTTATAATTATAATCTGAGTCGTCAGTGGCAAAAACCTTTAATGGACGTAGTTTGACGTAGACGATGAAGGATTACATTGTAGCTCCTTTTACGGCTGCAAACTGCAGTGCTGTCACTTAGTACTAGACCAAATAAAAAATGGTTGTCCTCATCAAGCACTTTGACACAAAAACAGTTGGAAATAAGGTCCAGGTGGAAAAATAAGTCACCCTTTAAGGAGGGGTTTCTGTCAAGTATCATTACTAATTCTGCTCATAAGGAACACGATTATTGACATATTGATTGACACGAGATGAGATACACCAATCAGTTCATACGCATTAGATCCAGTGTGTAACATTTAGGAGGATCTATTAGCAGAAATGGAGCATAATCTTCATAGGTACTGTATGTTTTCATCAGTAATAATCACCTGAATATAAAAATCATTGTGTTTTTGTTGATGAGCTGTTTTTATCTACAGACATCGCAGTTCGCCATGCAGTCGACCATATTGAACCGCCATGTTTCTACAGTAGTCCAGAACAGACAAACCAAACACTGACTGTAGATAGAGCCTTTTTGTGTTTCTCCTACACACTTCACAGCCCATTCTCATTCCCAGGTTGTCAAATACAGACGCGAGTGGTTTTCAGTTGGTTGGAATCAGCAACTTCACTAGATGCCACTATATTCTGTCTGATTGAAACCGTGGGTGGTATGTCACTGTGACTGAAAGTGCTCATATGGAAACATTACTGTTAGCTACTTGTTTATATGATTTTGGAAATCTAATCAAATGAATTTGGCTTCATGAAAATCATCAGCATTGACAGCAACTGAATGAACAAACATACAGACAAGGTTGTCAAACACTGTTGTCAAAGAACCATCAAAAACATTTAGTGAAAAAAAGGAACCAACACGCAAAGCAAACACTAATTTACATGCAAGTGTGTGAATGGAGGGTGTGCGTATGAGGCACTCTTTTTGAAGTGTATTAATGGAAAGATAAGCACAACTGTCAAATATGATTTCCTTTAACTCATGCTGCTAAGTCAGCCAGCAGCCATCTGGCTCCCCCTGACACACACACACGCACACACACACAGACACACACACAACAAACTCAGTGGGAATGACAATCTGAGGGCATGCAGTCAGAGAGGATATTATGACAGGCCAGAGTGACCATAACTCCCAACTGATATGGAGCATTCAGACAGTTCATACTCTCTCTCTCTTACAACAAACACACACTTACACAACCCTGACAAAGTGATGAAAAAAGCCTGGTCTCTATTTTATAGGCCTGGAGAACAATGTAATTTAGTAACTCCTACTTTTTCTTCTCTCTTTAAGGCATTTGTGTAACCATCCAAGGCTCTCAAGGGCTATAAATCCACTAAACCAGCTCAGTCCATCGAGGACAAGGCACAATTAAATAAACTCAAAAGCAAGACTGCGTGCTCCCGGTGATAGCTGAACTGTTGTGTTTCCCCACTGCAGAGTTCAAAGGATATCACTGATCATACAAAGCCACACATCAAGCAAATGCAACAACACAAGACATAGCAAGCCAGATGATATTATAGCAAAAATGGCTGGCTCAGCGTCTGTCTGCGACCTTTCATTTCTTTAAGTTCTCACTGACCAAAAGCCAGTCTGAGATTTACTCTTGTCAAGCGGCCTCTTTCCTTTTCTCTTCTTAGCTTCCTCCGTCAACATCCTCAAGGGTCTCTTCACCTCTGCCATGATGTCTGAAGAGGCTGCCGAGCCCTGTTACGTTGCCTGCTCACTTGGATCCAGCACAACACTGGCTCCGCTCCCTGTCAGCTGTCCCCGCTGGCTACCTCTCGCCCCGGCCCTGAAAACCTTCTCGCAGCAATCCAAAGCTCCTGTGAACAGCAACGCTGCATGGCTAACCGAACTAACTAGCTTCAGCAGCTATGTTACAGTTAGTGGTTACCTCACTTCAGAGTAAAGCAAGTAAAGCTTTGTGTCCATCAGGAAACTCTGTAAATCGCAGAGAGTTGAGGCGGAGGACATCCGAGGGGAAAACCAAAAAACATTTTCTCCATAAAACCTGAACTAGTTTCACCAAAATCAGTGACAGAGTTGGTGGTGTGCAACAGTGCTCTAAATCATTACACATTTCTTGTGACCCAGCAACCAAAGTTATAGAGTGCAGAGTGGGAATGACAGAGGCACCATCCGGCCTATTAAAGTCAGTGTACCATCAAAATGATTTTGAAGCCATTATTGTAAAATAGTTGCATAATATTGCTTTAAAGCCCTGCACAATGTGTGGTGCTGTGCCTCTGGCTGAGCACCAAACATGATGTTCAAGTTGTTGATGTGACACAAGCGAAGCGAATAAAAGGATGAACCCTTGTGCTGTGAAAATGTTGACGCCCACAATAAGAAACTGTGGCAGCGACAGGCTCAGCACATGACTAACTGTGGTCAGCTGGCTTTGTGCTGACAGAAAACTCAAACACTGTAGGTTTTTGTTGAATAATGTTTGCAATTTTTCCACAACACAGCCTCAGAAAACTTTCCATTTTAAATGAAGTACTGTATGACATTGTACAACACAAACCAGCCAGTCAACAGTTTACATTTTAGGGACTCTTTAATCCAGAGTGACTAATGGTGCTGACCAGGTAGGAGCATCACTATTGGATGAATCTGTGACCTTTGATCATATAGATGACTAGAAATGCTGTGTATCATAGAATGTGTTGGTGTACTTTAGATTCAGTGAGAATTGTTTGAAATAACAATGTGACACTGAAAACATGCAACTTACATAAAGCAACCATTCAGCAGTTACAATCTGTGGTCCAAGTGACCTGCTTTGTGCTTAAATTGAGCACAGTTTACCAGTACTGAGGCTTGATTTGTGATGAAACATTTTAAACCCTTTCTGGTGCCCTGATAAGTTATGCATCAAAAGGACTTTCTGTGGAAATTATTAAAATATGCACACAGAAAATGGTTCACAGAAAGGAGTTGTATAATGTTGCACCGAGCATTACTTTTCTCAGTGTTTTTTTTTTTCTTGTATCTTCTGATATAATGTAATTAACTGGATGTTCTCCAGCGTAGTTAGGGGGGGCAGAGTAATGTCAGCACAGTTAAAGATCATAGGGAGATATGCAGGAATACTGTAAGCACATGCAGCACAGACAGTACACATGTGCAGTTATATGACTGCAAGTATAAACATACATGTGGCCAAAACTTAAAACAGGAGGTTACATCTCTGTTTATTATGGAGGCTGATGAAATTAACCATAATGTAATGTAGAACCAGTGTAGCCCAGCTATCTGGAAGATTTTACAAAGGCGCATTCAGGTGGACTAGCTGTGTTATTAGCCTTGAGCTAGCTGGCCCTTAACCGGAGAAAGGTAATCCAAACCTAGAGGATGAAGACTTTGAAATGGGGTTTAATTAGTTTTGGGAAAACTTGGCCCTGGGCTGAGACTAGCACTGGGCTACGAACTCGCTGCGATAAAACCCGCAAAAGATCAAGTGAAGATGGCAGTGCCCATAGGGTTTCGAGTTAATGCTGTGTTTAGATGTCTGTGAGAAGAGGCTTACGTGTGGTGGGAATGGCAGGATGGAAGAATGGAGCAAGGAAGTGAAGGGGAGAATGAGAGGGAAAGACGAAGCAGGGATTGTGGGCTACAGGAAAGTATTAAAGCAAACACAGCAGGGATGGAGGGAAGAAGGACGGAGGGGAAGAGGGTTGGGAGCACAGACAGAGAAAGGAGAGGATTAAGATAAAGGGAATAGATAGGAGGAGTAAGAAATGTCTGAAAAGCATATGAGCTCAACAAGAACTAATATTCTCTACTCTCAATTCCCCACACGTAAACGGTAAGTCATGTGGTTTGTGCCTTCCAAAATGACCCATATATCTGTTCATAGAGGATTCATATTAGAGTTTTCTAGTCCGTCGTCTTTATGACTAAAATATAGGCAACTGATAGTACCTGGTTGAAGCAGCCATAATACGTATGTTTAGATTAACAATGACTAGTTGTAAATGAAAGGGGTTGATATTAGTGTCAAAAACTCCCTTCATCTCTATGGAGCACTTTAGTGTCTTTCAGCTCATTGTTTTGGTTTTAAGCCATTTAGCGGCCTTGGTGTCAGATATTTACCTCATCCACCTCAGTTGGTGGAGACCAGAGCTAAAAGGAACGTGAACATTAAGCTTAAATACATCAGGGGGCTGGAAAAATTATAATATTATTATTATTATAATCCAAAAGAAATGCTAATGCACCCTGTGTCTGCTGGATGTGTTAGAGTTTGCTAACATGTTAACTGTATCAGCTTAAAATATGATATGTTAGTGTTGTGTTTACAGGTTGTGTCTGCTGCCCTCCGGACATCAGTTCACGCAGATTTCATCTGATGAAAATACTGCCTTTATGGTTGAGAGAAACAAACACTGTAGGGAGGCGGGATGCAAACTGCAGTCTCCAGTGTCAAACATAGTCTTTGTATGGCCAAACATCCTCCTCGACTTACACCTTGACTCCATATACTCCCTGAACACTGTGCACAGTAATCTACTAATGTAATGTCCCTACATAGTAATGTCACAATACTTGTGGCTTTGCTACTGAGAGAGGACAGCCATTATTTGCATTACCACAAGATGTCACATTAAATGTGTATGTAAACAGGTCATCATAAGGATTTCTTCAAATGCCTGTTGAGGTTTTCCTCGATATTCCTTCTTCTTTCCCTCCACTAAGGAAACTGCTGCTGCTTGTTATTTGTTGCTCGTTACCAAGCTAACACCATGTGAGCAGAACAAGTGAAAGAAGAAGTAAAAGAGAGAAGTGTTGTTTGGACAAGGTAATGCAGCTTGCTCAGTAGGATTGTTTTCGTGCCAAAATCAAGCACTAACACTGTCAAGGAGATCGGGAGGGAGATCTCTGTGTGTATTTGTTGAAAAGGGAAGTGGACAGAGTCAAGCAAGGTAAAATGATACAAGCAATAAGCACACAGAGGAAAAAAATAAAAAACAGCTTTGCCAGCCTTGCCCAGTCCGGCCCACAGTGTGTGATTTGAACCCACTCCAACTGAGAGAGCAAATAAATCTTTCCACGTGAAGGACAGGTAAGGACAGGAGATACATAAGCTACATTTGACCAACAACATGCACAACTCTCTTACTGCCTCTATACCCCAATGTAGGGTGGGCTATAGCTCACAGCAATATCTCAAAACACGTTCAATGTATCACAGACTGTTGAAAGATAGCATTGATAGCACTGATATTATGGCTCAACAGAGAGCTATTTACCAATCAGGCCACAGGCACAGAAAGGATCATAAATAATTAAGCCTCCGTTCAGTCGGCACTTTCAAATTCCAGGAAGTATTAACGATTGGTATGTCCATAAATGTCAGTAAACACTCCAGGTTGAGGACAGAAGGTCTAATCAGGTTCTGATGTAATCAACTCAAGGAGCTGATACAGGAGCAACACTCTGGGGAACTCAATCAAGTCAAGCGTGACACGGTTTCTTTTCGCTGCACAGCTTTGTTGAATCACAACAAGAGGATTTTAGCTTCACGGTCACTAAACTCATGTATTGATGTCAGGGGAGTTGTGTTGTCTTGCTGTTCTCCTTATCTGATTCAAAGACCTTGATTAGACCTTGCTAAGGGACACTCAAGACGAACATTGGTCTGGTAGTGACACTGATCCCGGTGAGCCATAAACTGGCTTATTATTGCCCAGATTAAAAAACACAATATATCACTGCTTTTCACTTTCAACATATATGATTTGGGCTCAGGGGGATGAAATGTCTCTAATTTTAGTCTTACATAACCTAACAAATCAGTTTTTAATGAAGGGAAGGCTCTTCAGGGTCACAATAATGGGTTTCTTCAGTCTCAATCACATATTAAAAGATTTTTTTTTAATGAACAGAGCTGTGGCTGGCTGCTGCGCTCATCAGTCTCATTTTATTTACAGCACCAGCTCTGCTCAGTGTGTTTGAGTACAGACTGGAACAACGGGAACTTCCCCTCTCATAAAAATAAGCTTCACTGCACTTTATTGCAGAGCATTGGTCAGACACTGCTGTCACGTTACAGCTGCTGCCCCTCACTGTCCCCCTCTGTACTGGAAAGCCTTTAATCGTTTTTATTTCTCTCTGAGTACTGACAGTATGTTGGATTCTGGGTCTGATGTCCACAGGCTGATTTCACAAGTTCTTTAGGATTTTCCCATTTTTATGAGATAATTGCGACCATAAATGTTTACCAGCCATGGTTTCACTATACTGATTACTGTTGTTGGTGCAAGACAAAGGTAACATATCCATCTTGAGATCTGAAGGATCGAAGTAAGACTTAATATAATGAAATATAACCCCTGGCACACCATATTTACACCTAAAATGCATCCACGATCATGAGCAAATTACAAGAAATAACACATTACCCAGCCTGAGTTCTGAACTAGTTGTTTTGTATGCTTTAACCCAGAGGTTACATGGCGGTCTAAAACGCTACGAGGGCTTATAAGATTTAATTTTAGGGGTCACAAGATGATTAATGGGCTGGTGAAAAAGAAAACAACAATGCTCAAATTTGAATTCATCTTTTGGGACCTTTGTGTTTTGTAAATTATTGCATTATTAACCCTTTAACTAACATCTATTACCATTAAACGTTCTGCTCATTTTAGAAAACTATACCAGCTCGATCTTGAGGTTTAATATATAATCCACCACAGTGATCAACCACCATTGAGGTCCACTGCCGTCCCTCCACCTCGTATTTCTTAGGTGCTGGTTGTACCCCTGAGCCTCTGAACTTTCTGTAATAGCCTGTCATAGATGTCATTGGCAGCACTATAGGCTGCTGTGCAGTGCAACATTTGTTCAGTGTATTGCAGGCAGACATTTTGCATGGCAGGCATTTTGACGTTTCATAGCAGTAAAAGAACTGGTGTCACTGATGATATTAGTAATAGCTGCATTTTTAGGTGTGCCAGTTCAAGGCTCCTGCTGATGTGTATATAGACTGAGACACATAATTGAACAACAAGACGTTGAACAACAAATTAAGTCCTTTGGTCCAGACTTGCATATCTCAAAAACTATTGGATACATTGCCACGGGGACATTCATGGCCAGTGGATGAATCCTAATAACTTTGATAATTCCCTTACTTTTCCTCTGGCATCATTATCAGGTCAAAATTTGCATTTGCCCATGACCTTCTCATCAGTCTCAACTGTACTTTGTGTTTAATTACCAAATGTTAGCATGCTAACACACTAAACTAATTTGGCAAACCGAGCCAAGCTGCTAGCGTGGCCGTAGACTTTACATGCATATTTTTCATCATGTCGATCTAATATGGACGATCCCAATAGGTTTTCGACTTTTTTTATGAAAATATTGTGTTTTTGCTGCAGAAAGTTAAAAGAAAAAAATAGGCTTTCTGTTGCTAACAATAAAGTTGATGTCATATCCCTGTCAGTTCAGTCAATCCCAGTGGAGGCTCTGTCAGAGCCCACACTGACTGATCTGAAACCAGGGGCCTCAGGCACACAAGTTCTGCTGGACAAACAGACAGACAAATACATGTTTAGACAAAGCTGAGCACCATGGACCTGTATGCCAACACACCAGATGTGACATGTGCACACACACATATACACACTGGCAAACTTGACATGTCAATAATAAGGTTCACAGTCATCCTCATTCTGCTGCAGCTCTCCTCTCCTGACCCTTTCCCTTCATTCTCACTTCTGCATTATTCTTCCTCTTCCACCTCTCATGTCTTCTGTCACCCTCTCTTGTTCTCTGTCTTCTCCCCCTTAATGTGGCTTTGGCTCTCTCTGTCTTGTCCTCTCTTGTAATTGACAGCTCCTGCTGGGCGACCTAAGATGCCTCTATTAAAATTGCAGGGCTTCTCAGTCACATTGCATTGTCCCTCTGTATTTTCTAAGTACGTGTTTCACAAAACCAGGTGCCATATTCCTTCGGCTGGTGGTTCCCTACGTGACATCGGAACAAGAAAACATAATCTTGGGTCCTACATTAACCTCTTTTAAAAGACTTTTTGGACATAAGTTTGAATGTGATGTTTGAGCACAATCTACGTCAACGAAGTGCAGGCACACAGATCTGATTTTTGGACTCCTTCTGGTCTTCCTCTATTACAGTGAGATAGTCTGGCTTAAATCAGATAGTATCTGTTTAGACAGTGATATGGAGATGATCCACATGCCACAAATTATAAATAACCACTTTCTGTTGGGGTCAAAGCAGGCCTGTAACTACCATAGAGGACATTGAGGTCTTCAGTTCTTTATGTTCATTCATATTCGTCACACAGATGACACAATTGATCAAATGAAGGACTTACTTAAATATAACACCACATGTATACATCCACCATTTCATGACCAAATTACAAGTAATGTGAGTATAACCCCGCTGTGAGTAAGTTCTGTACTAGTTGTGGTGGTTCACAACAATGGTGGTCTGGAGCCCACCAAGCGCTCAGAAGATGAATAATGGACAGGGAAATAAAGAAAACAACAATGCACAAGTTTGAATTCATGTTTTGGACTTAAATCTTTGTTTTTGTGATATATTGCATAACTAACTATAACAGTACAGTCTTGAAACATAAGATATATGAACTTAAGATATATGAACTCCACAATAGTGAACAACCACCAGTGAGGTCCATTGCCGTCCCTCCTGCTTGTATTTTTTAGATGCTGGCTGTGACACTAGCTGTAGTCATATGACGCTTACCACAGGGTTGATCTCATTACTGTCATCACTACATTTTTTATTCAGTGTTGGATTTATCATTACGAATTTATTTGAAGTTTCCAAGAAGACACTGCTTTTCAAGGCTGGATTACAAACCTTCTGAGAGGGATACACGGCATCAGGAGCCAGTAGGCCTAATGTTTACCTTTCCTCATCTTCACACCGTTTCTTCTGCTCTCTTCACTTTAGGGAGATAACAGACTTTTCTAGGTCTTCAGAAAGTAGTATTTATTAACTGACAACCTGTAACTGTACATTTACTGCGTCATTGACAATTTATTGCTAAACTTTTTATCTGTTCAGCTCACGTTCACTGGCTCTACAGACTGAAATTAGAATTTTAAAAATAACTATATATGGCCTTAGTTACAGTATATCACAATATATTGAATCATAACCCTTGTATCGTGATACCCATCATACCGCCAGATTCTCGCCAATACGCAGGCCTGATGGAGACGAATTACTCTGTCAAAAGCTAAAAGGAAAATATGAAGTGCAGTCTAATCCAAGCGTAGCCCCACAACCAAAACTCAGAGCACATGATGGAAACCTGCTATTAACTCTTTACAACGGTCAATATCATATAGAGGCCCCGCACAGTCACACAGATGTTTGCAGTTATGGCTGATTAGTGCTTTGGTCAGGTTGCAGTTCGGTGAAACTATGGAAGAGATTTCCTGAGGTTGCCAAACTCATTGACTAATAATGATGATGGAGATTATGAACAGATGCAACAAGTGTTAGGAGAGTGTCAGAGATGTCAATCAATCACGGTCTGTGCATGCTCACACAGCCCTGAGTAGAGGTCTAATCAGGCTAAATAATTGCAGACACCTGTGTAGGTAGGGGCACAATGGCTGTAGGCTACAGGGGGGTTAATGATTTCAGATGATGTTCACATAAAATACTTATTTTCTATGAGTCTTCTGCTGCTAGAAAATCCCTTGAATCTAAAACACCTGACATCTGAAGCCACTTGGGGGATATTTAAAGGGCCTGGATGTCAACAAACATGTCAAAGGCTCCTGTTTCACTATGCAATGCTCCTGCAGTGAATCCCCGCTGCTTCCTTGTGTGTACTGGAAAGGCCATATAAGGCAGAAGATCTGCCTTGGACCTTGAGACCTGTGTCCCGTGATAGAGACACACTGGAGTGGAGAGCAACATGTGCTTGACAATGAACCCCTGCCAGCGCGAGCCGATACGATCTCCTGTGTTTGGGAAGGGAGAGGACACGAGCTCAAGTCGTGTCCCGTTGCTGCATATATGAAGGAGGGTGCGCGTGGAAAAGTGCGCAGCTGATGC